TTCGATGAAATATCATACAGAACAAACGTTCAAGTCCATCCGTTATACACAACAAAGATGTTATTTCTCTTAGCAGAAAATCGTCAATTTCAAAATAATATTGCCTTATACTATTTATTTTTCTATTAATACGTTATTGTACTATTTTAATTATACTATTTATCAATTATTGAAAATTGTAAAATCTGGTATATAAATAAAATCGCTTTGTGAAGAAGCATATTATTCATGATTTTTATTCTGGATTTTGAAATTGGAGAACAAGTTACCTAAATGTAATCCGTTTCGTTTGGATAATACCAATCAGTAGCAGAGATAATCCTCAAAGGTTATGTTCTGGAAAGTGGACGAGGTTCGACTGGAATGTAAAGGCGAAAAGCTGAATCGATTGGCATTTCTAAGGTCTGCGCGCATTATGGGGGTTGACGCGGTCGCGTCTAATGGCATTACCAACCCTTAATGCCGGACCGCTTTGAGGTCGTTGCCCACCCGTCGCGTCGCGTTTCACAGTTTTTGCTTCTTAATTAAACTTTGTCCCATAGCAGCTAAGTTAATATATATACGCAGCACTAAAAATGACACCAGACATACACTACCTTTACCAATTACTCGGTCTTCCTCCATTTTCGATAAGACAAATGATTCTTGTATGAATTTTTCATTCATACTAATCATTTATGTTAAATGTAATTAATTTACAATATATTATAGATTTTTATGAATTTATACACTGCTGTTCACTTTAATAGCTTCGAACACCTCAAACTACCTTTTCTAGCAAACTACTATACAAAATTATTAATTGTAGAATTGTTACAAATATTTCTTCTTCAATCTATTGCAAAGAATGAACTAATTATGACTGAGGCTACTCATGTGCAAACTGAAAGCTTGTAGTATTTATAATAATAACATACTTTCCAAGTGTGTACATCAATATAAATTATTGCCATTTATTAATTCATATTCTAAGTGAATCTAACTAGTAAGCAGGAGTTCGTTATTGAAAAGTCTATGTGTAACGCAAAGTACAGAAAGCTGCCGGGTTCATCGTCATGAACGGAGTTCATTGCCGCCATCCACGCGTTACGTATTATCTCGGATACCATCGCGACGCTAGTATGCCGTTAAACGAGTTTACAGAGTCGTGTCGAGTAGGAATGAAAAGTTGGCGAAATAAATTTTCGACGGCGGCGTAGGCGTTTCACGTAATAACACGTTAATTAAGAAAATTCCGTCCTTCTGGTTGACTACGCCCGACACGTTACACACACGACGGTGTTGGAACGGGCTCACGCGACCGGAAGGCAAAACAGCGGCCAACGGAAGCATAATTTTTCAAGGAAATCAACCGGGACGTATCTCGGTACCTCGCAGTCAGCGAATGTTTGTCGTTTGTGATTAACAGCGGTGATAATAGCTGACGTATGATAATGATAAACCTGTTTCGATGGGAACGAAAGGGTTCTTACATTTCTCCACAGGAGGCCACGTAAACATCTACTTAGTCTGTTTTTTATATTATCAAAAACCTCATAGCATGATTTAAATAGTTTAGAAGAAGGAATATTCTGTGACAAATTTTACTGCCTCATTTCTCTTCGATGCCATCAACATTTTTTATTTAATAAATCTGTATTTTTTCTATTGGATCGTGTAGCCAGTGAAAAAATACTGCGATGGAATGTTATTGGACATTCTTTATTCGAAACCATTTATATCATGCTATGAATATTTTTCTCATTATATAAAAAACAGAACAGATATTTAGGTGAATTTTAGCTGGAGATATCCAGCATAGAATGTATTGTATAATAAAAATAATGGAGAGACTTATAATTACTGTAGAGATCAGATTGAGATTATTATAAGGTAATGTAATTATGTTACGATCAATTGAAACTTGGTCGTTAAAAATCAATTTATAAAGATCTGGCAAGGAATGCATTTGTGCATTAAACGTGACAGAACATTTTTTCATTCAATCACGATTCACTATTCCTTAATTAATCATTAGAACTGAATGGAACAATAATTAGATAAACTTTTTAAATGACCTGTTGCAATAATTCGGAATGTAGTGAAATGGAGAGTGGAGGATCTCCAGAGACTTTTCTGTGCAGCGAAGGCATTTCGACCTCCACCAGACGATGTTAAAGTTCATATAAGTACACGGTGGATACTATCACCATCTTAACGCGGGGTTAGCGTGCGCCTTATCCGAGAGCACGTCTACCTATTCGTTGTTGAATTACGAGGTCCTTACGAAGGACTGTACCCTTTCCTAGAAACTTTCTACACCCTCTAGCCATTACGACACTGAGAGGGTTTGTAATTTTTTTTAAATTTATCAAGGGCACATTACAGAAAAGTAGCTGGAATTGGGAATCAAATAACAGAGACAGAAATTCAACGAAAGAGTTCCAAGTCAAAACCCACACGAACTTTCTAAGTATTTAAACAATTAATTTAATTATCAAACTTGTGCATAGAATTTGATATTTAGATTACCTTTTTCCTCATTCTTATTAATAGCAATTGTCGAAGGAAATAATTGATCGATGGGTCAATTTAATTGGGAATCAACCAACACACTGCTATTCAGCCACTGCTCAGGGTCGACGATTTCACGCGAAGCGTTTATTCACACGCGAAGAGATGTTTAAAAAATTGGCAGCCAAGAGGTGTGCAATCATGTACTCGATAGCCCGTTGATTCCCGGGTCAGTCATTAATGACTGCGAGGGCTCATTAACTAGCTCGCGACTCGTTGAAAATCGAGCGATAAGCTCGCATTCTAAGATTCTCACCCACACGCGACTTTCAAGTAATTATTTACTAAAATTCTCTGAACGATTAACTCTCAACTCTATGAGTTTACGAATTATTAAGTTATTAATATACGGACTTTGTACAGCCCATTGGTATACAATAACGAAACAAAGTGAAAGTTAAATATAAAATATTAAACTGAGATAATAAAATGTGNCTGAGGAAAATTGTGAATGATCATCAGATTTATCGTATTATAACAAAAAGAATTTCTTTAATTTTCTCCAAATCTTTATTTTATTACATTATTATTAATTTCGAAATTAGCAATTAAATCAGGGTAAAGTATAAGACAATTGATAATCTTATAAGCAAAAGACATATCTAACCTTTCCTCGTGATTTAAGATTGAACGAACTGAATAAATTACATTGTACAGATATGTAAGAAATTCAAGGAATGTCACAAATCACTTAAACAACAGATTATTAATGTCACAAAACTCCTTACATTCCTCATAAATTAAATTACTTTGTTGCCATTCACGAATTATCTAAATTCCCACAAATTGAATCATTTCTCCCGATTCGTGTAGCAGTGGTACCACAGGAGTTGGTCAACATTCGACGAATTAAATCGTTCGCCACCGATATTGAAATCCTATCATATCCTTGTTTCCAGTCGTTCGATCAGGAAATCGAGAGATCGTAAATCAGTGAGAGGGCGGGTTAAGGGGAAGTTAAATGGATTCGAGAAATTCCAGCGACCATAGGTACTAACTGCACCAAGTATCCGGGCTATTCGACCCATGAATATTCCCCCCGCTGCTTGGCAGCCATCCTGACGGGAGCACACTTTTTTCCATTTTCCCTTTTCCCTGCCAAATCTCAGCGACCTACTGAGCCAAACGGAACCAAACAAAAGGCGGAGGGTGTTGGCAATTTACGAAGGTGACCCTGTTAAGCTAATTGCGTTTATGGAAGCTGGTCTGATTATCAAATGAACTGGCGGAAAAAGAATCTGTTCTCTAGAACAGTACACTTCCAGCATATCATCGGACAGGTAACAGCTTAAGTCGGGTAAGAGGAACACAGAAATCGATACTTATTCAGTTTAGTAGGAAATAGGAGACACTCTTCTTCTTCTGGATTAGAATAAATCCGCTTGAAGAAATGAATCCAATTAACTTCTGATCCAGTAAAAGAGCATAACGAAGTCACGTAAGGTAAATGTCCCAAATTCTACTTATTATCAGCTAAGTGTCGTTTTACCAACAACTGGCATATAAAATATATAAACATATGAAGGACATATAAGAGACAATATGTACATGTCTGTTTAAGTACTATAATTGAAAGTTTTGTCACTGAATCATGCATAATAATACTGAATAATTATTTAGTTAAATTAGTTAGTGTTATATTTATTTTATATGTTGAAATTATATAAAAATAATTGCTAGTGAGTAGAAATTGGGACGTAAGTAGGAATTGCTAAATTTATCTTAGGTACGTATTTTTCTGATATATATGAGAGACTAAAATGCAAAGTTTTGATGGAAGTAGGACGGTAGACTAGTAAATGGTTTTTGACCTAATTGAATCCTTCGCTATTTCTAATTCAATCTATTTCTTATCTATTTCCTGAATGTGGTATATTATATCCTGAGCTACTTGCAGCTGCTCCTATCGTCCTCAGATAATTGAGCGTCAACATTCCGAGGGGCGAACGAGCGGGGGCGGCGGCGTGGGGTCCATTGAAAAGCCAATAGCGAAACTCCGAGTATTTTGGGAAAGCTAGCGCACCGAAGATGTTCGGCAACTCGATGAAAGAGTAATGAGCTCGCTTGATGAACGAGCAACCGCGGCTATTTCTAACCGACAAATCAAACTACTTTCTTAATAGCGACAATGCCGAATCGTCGACACAGTCACAACAGGTGGAATTAAGCTTGACATGCGGATTCCGATAAGTAGACAGGAAATATTGGAAGAGAAACATTAGATATTAATTTTTTATACAATTTCAAACCTGTTTCTAAAGGTCATCAATTGTCTTTAGACGATTTTTGAAATGTCCAATCTTTGCACGTTTTTGGAAACCCTGTTTTAAGTCGTGAAAATATTTCATTTATTTCACAGTTTTTTAAAATAAACTCATTTATGAGAGATCTGAATGTGTTCTCGCAGCACAGAATTGCATTGGATTTAGAGAAATTGAAGCACTCACGATTTTATGATGAAGATGCTGAAGCTCTCTTTCGGTGACCCACCGCCTGGACAGCTCCCGCTGCTCCTGCCTGTACTGGCTGTACTTGTAAAAGAGATACATGCCAGGCAGAGCCAACACGACCAGCGGCTTCATCAGGCTAGCTCTTCCGCTTCCTCCGCGGGCGCGAGGCTCTGGAGGCTCGTCCTCCAGTTGGCCACCACCCTCGGCCGCAGCTGGCACCACAGGCATGATCAATCACCTGTAACAGAAAATCGTTAACCGGTGAGCGAGAACAAAAAAAAAAACAAATCGATCTGAATAGGAATCTTGACTTATTGTTCTTTAGAAGAACTGCAGATTCTATTTTAGATAGTAAACTTCGGTAACTACATCAACACTTCATATAAAAGAATTGATGGAATAGAAACCATCAAAGGTAATCAGTTCAAATTTTTACTAACTAAAGACATTGCATAAATGATTTGTTTTTTTTTATTGGCATAAATGATTTTATTACTATTATCTAAATTATTGATTGAATGATTATACATTGTTGCAACACATTTGTTGTTTAAAGTTAGAGTTTAAATAACGTCTTATTATACCTCAGATTGAAACGCGACAAAAAGGGGGAAATCGTTTCAGCGTTGACTAATTAACAACACCTTGCGTCCGATCATTGCCGCGTCGCACGACAATAGGACAGGCATAGGCGTATTGTCTACCATCGAAGGGATATTGAAACCAGCCGGCTATCATTTCAATTCGTCGGGACGCGATTCACTCGTTGAGAACGCCGAGAATACTCATAATAGATCATTTGTTCGAATCGCTTAATTGGCAGCCTCGTAATACACGTGTTGGCATTAAATTTTTGCACCGTGGAAAGCTCGTCCATGATTCCAGCGTAGCTTGTCCTCGGGAAACTGACTTTTGAAAAAAAAACCTGATGCTCTCTTGAGCAATTCTACAATTTGTATATGAAGTCTTGTTTAACATAACAAAAGATGGTAAATGCACTTAAAAAATAAAAGCAAAGGTTTGAGTGTTTATTTAAAAGTCTCGGTCCCTCTCGTATTTATCAGAATAATATATTCCAGTCCCGTCCCAATTAGAATGCCTCCAACACTTCCTCGACTTTTTTTATACACTTTTGAGAGAACATCAGCGGAGTTGATTCGAGCCGGGGTTTTAGGTCAACGCGAGATGACTATTGGCTATTGGTTTCCATCAAACCGTTTTTTACAATTCCACGGGTCGCCCGTATTTCCCATCCCGGTTTCCCGATATTTATAATCCTCGTTAATGTCTCTTCCCGGGGCATCTGCAGCGGCGACACGGCCGTTAAGACCGGAGGAAGAAAACGTGTATCCACAAGATGGCCTAATTTCACTCCCCGAGGGGCTAATTATCAGAGTGTGCCAGGTCGGAGTTACCGTCGCGTCCGTCGACTCCTATCGATTATTCTCTACGCGTTTTAAGAGGACGAGACGGATTTCCACAGAGTTTCAATGAAATTTCGTAACACGTCGGTCGTTCACCGCGGCCTCTATATTTAATTCAACCATCTACTTCGCCGCGCTATTCTTAACTAGCTCCACTCTAGAAATAACCGCGCTATATCGTTGCTCGTGGTTGGCTCGCAACACTCTCTTCTCGTTCTCCTCCTTTGTTCTCTGCGGGAGACGCAGTTTGCATCCTCCTCCGATTACTCTTCAGGGAAATTGATATATTTGAACGACCATCGTTTCAATGAAGGGTGGAAACACTGCTGACTGATCGGACAGGCTTGTTTCCTTTTCTCACGAACTCTTTATCGGTTTCAATATTCATTACGAATCGAAAGATGTGTTTGTATTTGCTCTGTGGTAATGAAATCATTAGGATTTTCGCAATGACTTTTGTCAAAACGAATGAGTTCAATCATGATAAATTTTGAAATAGTTAGTGGAATTTTATTTACTGGGAGAAATGAAAACTGTAATTGTTCATTCGATTTTAACACTAGAAAGACTGAAACTTAGTATATACCTGTATTGCCCAAAGCAGTCAAAATGACTGCATTGTGAAAGAGTAATGTGTAAAGAAATTTGTCTAAAATTAATTTTTAATATTTTTTATATTATTTACAGTCATATAACAAGTTGTTAGTAAATGTTAACAATAAAAAAAATTTACTTCACTTGGGAAAAAAAATAATTTATGCATTATTATTTATACATTTGCCCAAAAGCAGTCAAAATGACTTCCTTGGGCAATCTAGTGTTAAATAAGGATACGTACTTAAGGATGTTAAAGTCATATAGTCAGTAAATTGACGGAGAGAATTGATTTAGAATATATTATAGATTTATGACATCAAAATTCCATCTGGAAAATCTCTAATTCAAATAGAATTAAGTATATTGTGTAAGGAAATTAGAAAATAGAGCATGTCTATTAGGGACAACTGCATCTCATCGAAGTAGGCCTCTTTAAGGAGAAACAGATCTGGGCCAAAAGTATCATAAAAAGCAGTTCGAAGACTACACTGATGATGAGCGGTCCCAGAACTAAAATGTTTGACCTGAGAGTCACTCTTCTTGTAATGGTCCTAGCGACAACATCGAATAAATTGGAGTGTTGTGCCGATCTCTCGATTCTTTAACGTCAACACTCATATTGAACCCTTGTGCCTGGTTAAACCTTATTCGGGTTTTGATCAAAATTTAGTCTTAAAATTGATGACTTTTCGTAATTCCAGATAAAGTCTTACATTTTTTCGTGATTTCATGATTACAATTTTGAAACTTCTGAAATGGGATGAATCAAATAAAAATAAATCTGTGACGTCTCCTATAGATTGTTATTTCTTTACGTTTTTATTGACATGCATATCGCACACGTATTTCTAAAGTGACACAGGTCAAAAATTTGTATTTTTAGTTATCCACCAAAAATGTGCCAAATTAACTTTTATAGGAATATAGTGTCTCTCTTCTTGTCTTGAATTCTGCCTCGATTGATTCGGTAAAAGTGACACATTGGCTGTTGAATATGTAATAATAACATTGAATCATCTTTCCCTACCACCTATAAATGTTGCGAAAATAATTGCTATCTCTTTTAATAATTTTTTCCAAATTTCCCAAAACATTAACTTTTGACTATCGTTACTTTAGGAATACACATGTGATATGCATTTACCAAATAGCCTACATTTTTGTTGGCAAACATTTGCAGTAGTAAATAGATTTATTTTATACATTTCGGCCTTCAAACATTTGTTTTTAGGATATTTATTAATAGCTACCACAAGCTTCCAAAAGTCTGTCACTCTAATTCCTACAACTCAACTGAACAAAATTAGCTTTCTTACTAGTCTTCTTGACAATACCTAAATTAAAATTGCAATAATTTTTAAAGGAGGTAATAAACCTTTCCGACATTCTGTACGTATATTTGTAGCAATAATTATAATGACGATAATAGAGTTCTAACGATGTGGCATTATTTTTACTTATAGTCCTACCATCCTTGAAGTAGAATAGCTGCTACGCTGTACACCGATAAAAGTGTGAAAAGAAAAGATTCTATGTACACATACTTTTATTCAGCCACTTCTAACTTAAATCTGACCACTAATTTTAATAAACATTATTCTTTCTTAATATCAACTGTGATAATATTCGTATAGTTTTAATGCACTAAAATATTTGGGAAGTGTTGAAGGAACGAAAGCACAAACTTATTAGCTTACTGTGTTTATATACCACTCTAGAGGGATGGGTAAGCGAACTCCGTCTACAGAAGCAATTACTATAAAGATAATAGCGTGTAAACGAGGAATTCGATAGCATCGCATCAAAGAAGAGTATCGAGTGGCCCTGCGGACTGTTGTTACAGCCAGTAGAACATGTCGTTTAAAAGACTCGCTGCGGGAGCTGGCAAGTCTTGTTTGGACAAGAAAACGAGAAATTTGATGCGTTCTAGGGGAGGAAGACGACTTCCTGGGAGCGTGTGTACGTGTCATCACTTTCATTGACAGTAAATGATATTGACAAGATGCTATTACGTTCTTCTAGTATTTCTTTTTTAAAAAGAATGAGTTATTCAAGTCTTTTGACCAATGAAAGACTTTGATATAATGTATAAAAGACGTATTAGGCTTACGGTTCAAGTCATGAGCTATAATTGTTAATTAAATATTTTAATAATCGAGTATCACATTTTTGGATGAATCAAAGATTAGGACTGTGGAAGGGCAAATGAACGACAATTTAAAATTATAAATAAAGCTGTTACAGAGGATTCAATAGAACTTTAAACCAGTTTATTAAACAAAAAGGTGTAAAAATGCACGGTAGCCGCAAACGAAGGTAGAGACAAGGAAGACAGAATAACGACCAACCGAAATTATTACAACTGGCGTCGCATAACCGGCTATCGCGAACGATCTAATATTATCCGTACGCGAGCACACGTACGCGTTTCGCCTTGACACGTCGTAATGGCGGTAGCAAGAACAAGGACACCCGCCGCCGCGGCAGGATAACATCGTATCGGATAGGCGACGGCCAAGTACACACGCTCCTCCGCTCCTGCTCTGCTCTGCTACCCCGGCTTCTATTTTTATGCACTTCGGTTTCCCTCTGTTATTCACGATCGTGCGATTACAATCGATCTCGACTACGCTCTTTTTTCCCTTGCTCTCACGTGACTCCACGCGATGCCGTGACACACACGTACGAGAAGAGGTGCACGGCCACGCATACTCCTGGGGGTAGCTTCTGATTTTAATTGAGATCGTCCTCGAACCGCGTTTCGACGATGCGTTGCCAGCTTCAGATTCGCTAAATCGTAAGGGGTTTGACAGTGAAACTATGCATCCAGTGGAAATGACAAGTTAATAATGTCAAAAAGAAGACGGTCGCTCCTAGTGCTAATAAACAAACGTTTACAATAGCTCCATTGTCGTTCAATCGATTATAAAAGAAAACGTGCAACTGACTAGGAAATATGAACGATGTAAGCGTGTCTGATAATAGTTAGAGTAAACAGCGATAAGAATGGAATTAATGACATTGATTTCGGCCCGTTCGACGTAGCCGTTGCCTCCGGCGAACGTTTACCCGATTAGGCTCAATAACACGTTTCCCAGCCCGTGCGAAATTACCAAGATAAGGACGTTACGTATCGCCAATGATAGGCCGGGTCGTATGTAAACACAGCCACCGGCTGATGACAAAACCCCATCTCTTTTCGTATCG